ACTGAGCATTCTCCTGTCCTTCAGGTAGATACCCAGGAGTAGAATTGCTGGATCATAAGGTATTTCTATTTGTAGGTCTTTTAGGAACTTCCATATTGTTTCCCACAGTGGCTGGACCAATTTATATTCCCACCAGCAGTGTAGGAGAGTTCTTTCACCACAACCCTGCCAACACTTATCACTTTTTGTATTTTGAATCTTTGCCATTCTAACAGGGGTTAGGTGGTATCTCATTGTGGTTTTAATTTGCATCTCCCTTATGATGAGGGGTGTTGACCATTTCCCCATATGCTTTTTTGGCTCTTTGTGTATTTTCCTTAGAGAGATTTTAGTTCAGCTCATTTTCCCATTTTTTAATTGGGTTACTCTTTTTTTCTTTTTTTTTTAGGTAAGTCACTTGAGTTCCCTGTGTATTCTGGTTATCAGTCCCTTGTCTGATGCATAGTTTACAAAAATATTTTCCCATTTTGAGGGCTGTCGATTCACACTAATTACTGTGTTCTTTTCTGTGCAGAAGCTTCTCAATCTGATGTAATCCCTCTTGTCTATTTCGGAGATTATTGTCTGTGCTTTGGGGTCGTATTTAAGCAGACTCAGCCTACCTCAATGTCTCCCAGAGTTTCCCCAGTGTTTTCCACGGGAAATTTTCTAGTTTGAGGTCTTAAGTTTAGATGTTTGATCCATTTTGAGTTGACTTTTGTTAATGGTGAAAGATGGGGATCCAGTTTCATCTTTCTGCCCATGGATACCCAATTTTTCCAGCACCATTTGCTAAAGAAGTTTTCATTTCTCCACGGGGTTGACTGGTATCTCTTGTCAAAAATTTGTTGGCTATATTTTTTGGGATTTATTTCTGGGATCTCTATTCTATTCTACTGGCCCACCTGTCTGTTTTTGTGCCAATACCATGCTGTTTTGATGATCACAGCTTTATAGTATATCTTGGGGGCAGGGAGTGATTTGCCTCCCACTCTATTCTTCTTGCACAGGCTTGCTTTTGCAATGAGTTTTTTTTTATGATTCCAGACAAATTCTATGATTGTTTTTTCTAGATCTGTGAAGAATGTCTCTGGTAATTTGATTGGAATTGTGTTAAATATGTATATATCTTTTTCAGTACCTTTTTAAAGAATTTCATAGTTTTTCATGTAGAGGTCTTTGACTTCCTTGATTAGGTTTAATCCCTAGGTATCTATACATTTCATGGTTATGGTAAAAAGGGATTTATTTTCTCAGTTCTACCTCTGTCAGCTTATTTTTCATATACAGAAATGGAATAGATTTTTGTATGTTGATTTTGTATCCTGCCATTTTACTGCATTCATTTATTACTTCGAAAAGTTTTTCATGGATACCTTTCGGTCTTCTATGTATACCATCATTCACCTGCAATTAAAGATATTTTCACGTCTTTTTCCTATTTGAATGTCTTTTATATTATTCTCTTTTCTAATTGTATTGGCTAGGACTTCCAGTATTATATTGAAAATGAGTGGAGAAATTGGGCAGCCCTGTCTTGTGCCAGTTTTTAGTTGAAAAGCTTTCAGCTTTTCCCCATTCAGTATAATGTTGGCTATAGGTCTATAGGTTTTTCATATATGGCTTTTGTGGTACTGAGGATGACCCTTCTATACCAATTTTGCCAAGAGTCTTGATCATGAAGGGAAGTTGTATTTTGCTTTTTCTGCAGCAATTGAAATGATAATTTTTTTATCTTTCTGCTAATATCATCTGTTATATTTATGATATTGCATATGTTAAACAGCCTTTTCATCCCTGGAAGAAAGCTTACCTAGTTGTGATGAATAATCTTTTTTATATGCTATTGGATATAATTTGCAATTTCTTGTTAAGAAGGAAATTCAAGAATTTAACTGTGACTGAAGTTTAGGACATAGATGAAGAATGAGTCATGAGTCTCTAAGTAGACAAGGATTTGATGTTTTTCAGGAGGGCATTGAGTATTATTGGTTTTTAGAAGGGGCATTACATGACCTTAACTATTTTTAAAAGGTTTCAGGGAAAAATATAGCAGAGAGAAAATAAAGCAGTCAAACAAAAAGGGCCCATTGATAATTAGTAAATATGTAATAAATTACTCAAACATTGAATAAAATAATGTTTACCAGATTTAGCAGCTAAAAATAATTGATGACTAGGGTGGCAGGTAGGCTGAGGGTTCTCATGGATTATCTTTACTTGTTTTTACCTCCCCTTAGAAAAAGAAAAAAAAAAATGATGACTTTGGTAAGATTACTTTTATTCAGGGGAGGGCGTGAAATAGATATATCTATCTGTGGAAAATAAAACATGCAAATCAGTCATTGAAAGTATTGACTATTTGAAATTAGATTTTATTTCATTGTTTTCCAATGAAAACAAACTAGTTACTGCTACTATAGTGTGTAGGAAATAATGTAATTCATTTGTGTATTGACTATTTAGTTACTTTTCAAACTAGTTTATTTATCATAATAGCTATCCCAGTGATTTTGTTTTGATTACTGGATTCAAAATTATAATTCTCGGAAATAATAACAACTTTGTATCCTTCCTTCAAATACACATATTGTTTGTTTATGTTCATGTGTTGATATATCGGGCAGCATTTCCAGAAATAAATTAAAATGATGGAGGTGAAAATTTTTGTTTTGCTTTTAATAATGATGGAAATGCCATAAACATTTCACACTTCAGTTGATAACTCTGAATTAAGATTTTTAAAAGCAAATTAATCTTATAGAAAAACCCATTACAACCCTATTAAAGTTCTAAAATATTATTTAGAAGTTTGTGAAATTTATATACATTGTATATTATAATATGTATCATATTAAATTTAGTCATGGCATGATTTTGAACCATCCTTGGAATAAAATTTTATTGGATATATTATTGTTACAAAATAACATTAAAGTTAATATGCTTTTATATATTTCATATAATCTTGTAAAATATTTATCACCATAATGAAGATTATCTTTTATTATTTTATAGTATATTTTAGACTGTTTTATATTTGAAGATATAACTTTAAGATATTATAAAATGTGCACAAAATATTTAGTTATGATAATGAAGCAATCCATACTTAATAAGTCTAGAAAATAATGCATTTCTAATTTTCCTCAATAAAGGTCGTCATCGAGCTACATGATCTTGAGTAAATATTGGGTTGTCGGAAAAGTCATGATATACTTTTCTATGATTTTCTATGCAAAAGCAAGTCATGACTTTTCTGACAAGCCAATATTTATTTTTCTGGGTCTATATCAGCAAGGGATTTGAACTAAATGAATGCTTAGGTCATTCCAACTCGAGCATTCTGCCATCTTGTATTCATACAGAAGTTGCTCCAGACTTAACACTAATTAGCAAAGCTGAATTAATAAGGTGAAGAGCAGTAATACTGTGTGAGGTGGTAATAGACTATGTCCTTGTGACTCGGCAGATTCTAGCCTTAGTTTAAAAATAAAACAAAAAAACAACTCAGCTCATTGTCTATCTACTTGGGCTTATGAGCAGTTGAAATTGAAAAACGTTGACTGTATGATTTATCTTAAAATGCTTATGAACACTGTGGACTAACCAGACTTTGGTGTTTTATTCAACTCACTTGAAACGTTGAAAAAAATAACACCAAGTGGGGAATCAGGAGCCCTGGACTTCTGCCATTTACTGTAATCTTAATCAAATCACTTAACCTCTTCAGGCACCAATTTCTTTTATTTATAAGATAGGATCAATTTATTCTTTCTTTTTTTTTTTTTTTTTTTTTTGAGAGGTTTTTCCCTTTAGGGGGCATGCGCTCGCCACA